CTTTTTTTTTTTTTTTTTTTTTGGGGGGGGGGGAGCCTTACCCAACGTCACTTCAACATCTTACATAAAAGCGACCAAGTACGGATCTGTAAAATCAAGGAAGCGTGACCTGCAAAGACGAGGTTCCCACCACGCACCCTTGAATCTTCAGTGCACCCTTGGATCTTCAGTGACAATATCAATCAACGGACCAAGATCACTATGGATTCCAAAGAATTTGTCCAAGCGTGACCTGCCTCCGTAGTGCCGCTACCCATACTACTGCCTCCATAGTGATCTGCCTCCGTAGTGACCTGCCTCCGTAGTGCCGCTACCCATACTACCTTATCGGGTTATCGTGAGTGGATTCCAAAGAATTTGTTTTTCGAAAGTGTTAAGAGCACTCAGAAAAGCAAAACACCAAGATCGATATCTCATCCACAAGACAGGTGTCCCACCAAACTCCCTTGGATCTTCATAGCATATTGATCACAATGGGAACAACTCAAGTTTGCTCTTCACCCGTTCTCACTTACCACCTGACCAGTAGTGTTCCCACCACCCCTTGCTGCACTCTCACTGCTCCAGGTGGCGCCCCTGCTAGTAGTTCCAAGAGTTTCCCCCTGAGCCACTCTAAGACTCCTAAAACTGCGTTCCTGTCTTGATCGTCGGCTGCAGCTTTAAGCAGAGAAAAACTCCTTAAAATTGGTGCGAGTTTGAAACGAAAAGAAATCCCCATTTTAGAGGAATCCGATAGGAGATGAGAAGAGAAACAAAAAAATTATAAAAGAACAGTAGACCCCATAATACGAGTCATTCTAATCCGCCTCAGGACCTAGCTTTCACAGACAGCCAGATACCGGACTCAAAACTCCAAGTGGCTACCATGAGATCTAAACTGAAGAATGAGTAGGACCAACTTGAGAGCACGAGATTGATGGATCTAGCCCACGGCTATGGCCAAAGGCTCTTTGGGTACTAGTCCACATCTACGGCCAGGTGGATGACAACCGTGCCAACTATATCTCCTACAATTAAGACACTCTTGAAGGACATGTTAACTGCTCACCTCAGTCAAGTAGGCTGCCACTATATAGGCAATAAGAGAGCGAGAGAAGTACTACTACAATGAATCTATCCCAAAGGCATCGACAGGGGAAAGTAACGAGCAGACCAATTGAAATATCCCCTAATGTCACTATATGCAGGAAGAGAGGAGCGGAAATATGTAGAAAAAGAGCAACAGTTTTCATTTCTACATGTGAAAAATCAATAAATTTATCCTACAGGCAGGGGTAAATAAAACGCACCGCATATCAAATTTCCCACATTCATGAATGCGCCCTAAAGTCTATCCAAAAGGCATGGACAGAGCGAAGTAAAGAGCAGACAAATTAAAATTAAAATATCCCGTGATGTCACTATATGCAGGAAGAGAGGTGTAGAAATATGCAAGAAAAGAGCAGCAGGTCCCATTTCGACCTCTCTCTCTCTCTCTTTCTCGACCCAAAAAAAACACGTCACAACAGAAAGGAGGTAAGAAACAACAATAAAATGGCAGTCCACAAGTGGTCACTTCAGGCAGGCAAAAATGTTCGTGACTGGTTTTATTGCCATCACAGAGCATATTATGAATCCCCCATTGCAATTCTCTTCTCGCTCCAACAATACTTAGGCTGCTGGCAGGCAGACATGTGAAGAGACACGCCAGATGTCCCGCAGATCTGCACTCCCAAGTATAATGATCTGTAAAAAGTTAAATGCTCCCAAATATAATGATTTGTAAAAAGTTAAAAATCAATGAATCTATCCTAGGGGCAGAGGTAAATAAAGAGCACGGGATTGAAATTTCCAACATTCATGAATATGCCCTAGAGCTATGGAGAAATACAAAGCAACCCAAAATGAGAGAACGACCTACCTCCCTATTTCACTTCATCCCATTAGAGGGTAGAATAAGTCATATCTCTAACTGCCCGCAATCAATGAGTCTAACCTACGAACTGGGACAAATTCAGAGCACCGGATTATGGACAGATTCAGAGCAGCCGGAAATATGCGTCACGTAATCATGATGGAACTGGTATTGGCGCTCTTGAAACTGCGGGCACGCTCCCACCGTTGCTGCAAACTCTCCCACTGTCCGCAGCAACGTCGTCTTGAATAGTTTTGTGTTGCATTCTCTCTTTCTCCTCTGAGATTTAGCGAGTGTGTTAAACCACCAGTACATGGGGACCTGGGCCGCGGGTCTGACACCTCAAATTCTGGAGGCGCAAAACAAAAATGAGGCTGCCACCTCAAATTCTGGAGGCGCGAAACAAAAACGGGGCTGCCGATCAAATTTATCAACGGCGGGCCTAACTTTTGAGGTTTTGGCCTCGTTTTCTTGTGGCGACAAGTTTCGGACTACAAGGCTGGGGCCGTGTACTGGTGCTTTAAGCTAAAACCTCAGCCATATACTCTTCATTGTTTCGGACAAGGTCTGGTCAGTCACCCTGTTCCATTGGAGTTGTAGACAACACTCCCACCGCCATCACATCACTCCCGCTGCTTGTGCTGATGCTGTTGCCATCCTCCCCATAATGCTTCGAGTGCCGCATGATAGTGTACTCGGTGATTGGTGTAATTGGTGTACTTGATGTAATTGATGAATCCGGTTCGTGCAGGGCTGCGAGGATGCCATAGTCCCTGAGCACAAAGGCGCTCTCTCCCCCAATCAAGGAGGCGGTGGGGCTATGGCACTTTTATCCGGGCATCAAGTCATCAACCATAGCCCGGAGACCTAGCTCGGTAGGCGAGGCGATGGAAGTATAGCGTGGTTTCAGGGTAGAACCTCTCTATACTCAGCCGTAGAATGGAGGCAGCCGCCAGCCGAAGCAGACCGCATTGTGCAGAATTAGCCCTACTGTGCCGCCAGTCCACGACTGCAACCCCCGCACTGCCCCGAAGACCCCTTTTGCCTCAATGCAGAAAAAACAAAAAATATGGCTGTGTATCTTTCCATACTCGAAAAAGAAGATTCGTTCTCATTTTGAGCAATCAGTGAGTAGTGGAGCAAGGCACCCGCCAGTCGAAGCCGACCGCATAGCGCAGAATTAGTTAGGGCTACCGTGCCGCCAGTCCACGACCGTAACCCCTGCACTGCCCTGAAGGCCCCTTTTGCGTAGGGTAGGAAAGACAAAACATATGGTTGAGTATCTTTCCATGTTCGAACAGAAGATTCATTCTCATTTTGAGCAATTCGCAGCCAGGAATGGCTGCGTATACGGGGTTGCGTTTTGTCGTTTAGCGGCTGCGTTTCCGTTTGGGGAATGTCGTCGACCTTTTTGGATGCAGCGAGATGGGTACGTTGTCTAGCTGGATTCACAATGTTGTCGGGTGGAGATCTTGCAACTAGGCTTTAAAAACAGGTGTAAGTGGGTATACAGGGCGTCGCGGTCGTCGACAGGAGACAGACCGGTCGTTCCGTGAGGTAACACGGCGGCGGTCGCTGCGGAGGACGCGTGGTCGCTGGATACCGACCAGTAGTAGGGTCGAGTAGCGTATAGGAAAGTTGGGAAATGGTTATCTGACCGTGCGTTGAATAGGGAGATTGACGGCCCGGATGTAATTCAGAAATGTTGGGGTCGTTCGTTGTTGCGAGGCCCTGGACACATGACCCGAAAGATGGTCGTTTTTTTTTTTTTTTTTTTTGTATTGTGTATCTTACCTGTGTAGGCGGACAGGTGCGCAGCGTGTTTCAGGCTTTTTTGATTCGGGTCTGCGCTGCGCTGAGGAGCAGCCGGCTGCACCTGCTGGCGGAACTCGGAGCGGCAGTGTCTGCGTTCAGCCTCGGGCGCACGTGCGGCCGGGTATGTGTACGGCGGGCTGTGAGAGGGAGGGTCTTTGTGGGGAGGAGGCACACGGGGCGGGGGGGGGGGCGGGGAGGTGGGCAGTGGTGGCGGGAAAGGGAATGTGAGTGACAGTGGGCACCCGACAGGGGGTGGAGGCAAGAGCGGGACAGGGGGAGGGTCTCGGTCGGTGGCATCTAGGGGTGGCTTCGGATGTGGTGGGGTGTGGGCTGGGAGCGTGGGGGGATTCCATTCCTCTCATAAAGACGGGAATGGCGCGTCGTGGGCTGGTCACCGGTCCGCCGCCGTCCTGGCTGTGCCCCCACGCCCGAGCGTGGTATCAGTCGGTGAGTAGCTGATCAAGGCACCCTACCTGCCAGTCGGCTATACCGGGGCAAGGTCCCACTTGCACGGATTAAGATATTGTGGCCGTTGATCTTTGCTATCTACAGTCAATATCGCATAATTCGTGTAAGTGGGACCTAGCCCCCACCATGGGCTAGGTCCCACTTACACGAATTAAGCGATATTGACCGTAGATAGCAAAGATCAACGGCCAGAATCTCTTAATCCGTTCAAGTGGGGCCTAGCCCCAGGGTTCAGCTGGTAGCGTCAGTCACTGCACCTCCCTCCCTCCCGCTACGACGATCACTAGTTATATCCAGATAGCGGACACCTATCATGCCCGCGGCCGGGAATTGAACCCTTGACCTCCTGACTTCAACTTGTGTGCCCTGCCAACGACGTAGACGGTTCAAGTTGGTCTACGACGGCATCTCAAGGCCGTCGCGCTTTTTTTCACGCTTTTTTTCATGGACATGGAAAGAACAAATTTGTTAGTTGGAAAAGGACATACAAGCAGAGTACAATCGCGCGGCACTTCAGACAGCACAGTTCAGGCAAGCTGTTGTCTATACGATGGCTGCAGGCCTGACATCCCGCCTGTTAGGCTCCAGGTAGCTCTTCCGTCTAACAGAAAGCCGCAGGCTCGACGTCCGACCTGGCAGTGGTTTGGCATAAAGGCCAGGCCTTGGCGAGGTATCGTGGGGCCCTCTGTCCTGTCCTCGTAGGCCCGACATCCTGCCTGTTAGGCCCCAGGTAGCTCTTCCGTCTGAAAGAAAGGCGCAGGCTCGACGTCCGACCTGGCTGTGGTTTGGCATAAAGGCCAGGCCTTGGCGAAGGTATCGATGGGCCCTCTCTCCTGTCCTCCTGGCGAATCTTTCCGCTTCAATTATACCCGCCGTGTGAGCGGGCTGTGCTGAAGAATGAAAAGGTGAGATCTGCCTCCCCTGGGATGACGGCGGCGCGGCACATCTTCTGCACATCGTGTGCCATCTCGTCGCGGCGCTGCACTTCGTACGCCATCTCGTCGCGCCGCTCTTTCTTTCTTCCTAGTAGTTCTTAGTGGTGGTCAATTGCCGGACTTCTCTGCACGTGATAGTCTTCTTCTTCCGGCTCTGCAGACCGAGCGCTGTCTTTGGTCCATCTCTTAGCCTTGACGGCTGTGTTCCAGGCAAGCGGCGAAGATGGTGAAGTTCACTGTGGATCAGCTCCGCGGCATCATGGACAAGAAGCACAACATAAGAAACATGTCCGTGATTGCCCACGTCGATCACGGCAAGTCGACTCTAACAGACTCGCTGGTGGCGGCTGCGGGTATCATTGCGGCGGAGTCGGCGGGCGACGTTCGGCTGACCGATACGCGTGCGGATGAGGCGGAGCGTGGAATTACGATTAAGAGCACGGGGATCTCGTTGTACTACGAGATGGAAGACGAGGCGCTGAAGGATTTCCACGGCCAGCGGGACGGGAACGAGTATCTCATCAATCTTGTGGACTCACCGGGGCACGTCGATTTTTCGTCCGAGGTCACCGCCGCTCTCCGGATCACGGATGGAGCCTTGGTGGTGGTGGATTGCGTGGAGGGGGTGTGCGTGCAGACGGAGACCGTGCTTCGACAAGCTCTAGGTGAGCGTATTCGTCCCGTGCTGACTGTGAACAAGTTGGATCGCTGTTTCCTGGAGCTCCAGCTGGAGGGCGAGGAAGCGTACCAGACCTACCTCCGTGTGATCGAGAACGCGAACGTTATCATGGCGACGTACGAGGATGCTCTTCTCGGCGATGTTCAAGTGTATCCGGAGAAAGGGACGGTGGCGTTCTCCGCTGGTCTTCACGGGTGGGCGTTCACGTTGACCAATTTTGCGAAGATGTACGCGGCGAAGTTCAATCTCGACGTCAAGAAGATGATGGAAAGGCTATGGGGAGAGAATTACTTCGATCCGACGACGAGGAAGTGGACGAAGAAGAACACTGGCTCTGGAAAATGCCAGCGCGGTTTCGTCCAATTCATCTATCAGCCGCTGAAGCAGATTATCACCAGCTGCGTCAACGACAAGAAGGACGCGCTATGGCCGATGCTTCAGAAGCTTGGCGTGCACCTGAAGGCCGATGAGAAGGAGCTGAGCGGCAAGGCGCTGATGAAGAGAGTGATGCAGACTTGGCTGCCTGCAGCCGATGCTTTGCTGGAGATGATGATCTTCCACTTGCCGTCGCCCGCCACCGCGCAGAAGTACCGTGTGGAGAACCTGTACGAGGGTCCTCTTGATGATGTGTATGCCACCGCCGTGCGCAACTGCGACCCCGAGGGTCCGCTGATCCTGTACGTCTCGAAGATGATTCCGGCGTCTGACAAGGGTCGTTTCTTCGCTTTCGGACGTGTGTTTTCGGGCAAGGTGTGCACTGGCATGAAGGTTCGGATCATGGGGCCGAACTATGTTCCCGGGCAGAAGAAGGATCTCTTTGTGAAGAGCGTACAGAGGACTGTCCTGTGGATGGGAAGGAAGCAGGAATCCGTCGAGGATGTCCCTTGCGGCAACAACGTCGCTCTCGTCGGCCTCGATCAGTTCATCATCAAGAACGCTACTTTGACCGGCGAGAAGGATGTCGATGCTCATCCCATCCGAGCCATGAAGTTCTCTGTGTCGCCAGTCGTGCGTGTGGCGGTCGATTGCAAGGTCGCCTCGGACCTGCCGAAGCTCGTCGAAGGCTTGAAGCGGTTGGCGAAGTCGGATCCCATGGTTGTCGTCTCCACCGAGGAGTCCGGAGAGCATATCGTGGCCGGCGCCGGCGAACTTCATCTCGAAATTTGCCTCAAAGATTTGCAGGAGGACTTCATGGGAGGGGCCGAGATTAGGGTTTCCGACCCAGTCGTGTCGTTCCGCGAAACGGTGTTGGAGAAGTCGTGCCGCACAGTGATGAGCAAGTCGCCCAACAAGCACAATCGGCTGTACTTCGAGGCGCGCCCGCTAGAGGACGGTCTGGCCGAAGCGATCGATGATGGCAAGATTGGCCCCAAGGACGATCCGAAGGTGAGGTCGAAGATTCTTGCGGAAGAGTTCAAGTGGGACAAGGACCTGGCGAAGAAGATTTGGTGCTTTGGACCGGAGACCACAGGTCCCAACATGGTGGTTGATATGTGCAAGGGAGTGCAATACTTGAACGAAATCAAGGATTCGGTGATTGCGGGGTTCCAGTGGGCGTCGAAGGAAGGCGCGCTTGCGGACGAGAACATGCGGGGCATCTGCTTCGAGGTGTGCGATGTCGTCCTCCACGCGGACGCCATCCACAGAGGAGGAGGGCAGGTCATTCCCACTGCCAGGCGTGTGATGTACGCGGCGCAGCTGACGGCCAAGCCTCGGCTGCTGGAACCTGTCTACCTCGTCGAGATCCAGGCGCCTGAGCAGGCTCTCGGTGGCATCTACGGTGTGCTTAATCAGAAGAGAGGTCACGTGTTCGAGGAAATGCAGCGCCCTGGCACGCCGTTGTACAATATCAAGGCGTACCTGCCTGTCGTCGAGTCCTTCGGATTCTCTAGCACTCTCCGCGCGGCTACCTCCGGCCAGGCCTTCCCCCAATGTGTGTTTGATCATTGGGAGATGATGGGCAGTGATCCGATGGATCCGACTACGCAAGCCGGTGTTGTCTTGCAGTCCATCAGGAAGAGGAAGGGACTCAAGGAACAGCCGACGCCGCTCACCGAATTCGAAGACAAGCTCTAAATCATCGTGTTGCTGTCTACTCCTCTGCTGCAAGGAGAGATTGTCACAAGTGCAGGTATGAGGACGAGGGTGAGGTGCTCTCCATCGTGTTGCTGTGTACTCCTCTGCTGCAAGGAGAGATTGTCACAAGTGCAGGTATGAGGACGAGGATGAGGTGCTCTGCTTCTCCGCATTATGGATGGTTCGACCACGATGGTTTTTCTTTCCTGCAGGCATAGCTGATAGAATAGACTTAAGTGGGTTGTTAGCACACCAAGCTTTTGCGTGTGTTTAAGAGAGAGAGAGAGACAGAGAGGGTGAAGTAGCCGGCCGGCCCCAAGTTTTGTGTTTTCTTTTTTAATTCTTAAATTCAAAAGAAAGAAAGGAAAGAGGGCTAATGCGGAACCCACTGCACCGCGCCAACGACCGTACTGAAAAAGCCCCGTTTTCTGAAAATGGGGATTCATAGGCGAAACTAGTGTCCTTGTGCCCGAGCAGCGAGAAGACCACGTGCGTGTGGGTACTCGACCCGCGTGGTGGTGCTCATGGAGAGCGCGCACTTCTGACGCTTAACGTAAGTCTATAACGTCAGGTTTTTTGGACGAGCCTATGGTCTGTATCTTGCGGAGCCAAACCTAGCAGAGAGTGTTATGTGTGTTATGCTCCATGGGAAGAGGTATTGGGAGATTTTCGTGTGCGCTGAGCTTTACGTTTCTGTTTCTTTGATACTCAATTTTTTTCTCTGAATTGTTTTCAAACGTAGAGGGAGGAGTCCGTAGGTTGTCTGCGACTGTTACGCATGCCAGCAGAGTTTTTCGGGGGATGTCGTCGTTCATCGTAGAAGATTTAGATACATTCTTTGTATTGTCCGATTCCTGTTTTTCTTTCTTCTATTCTTTATGGTCGGGGCGGAAGAGTCCGTGATGGAGAGGAAGCAACAAGTTGGCACGCCTCGGAATGGAAAAACGGAAGTTCATTCTCTGGATTAATATGGTTATTCATCAATTAGGACTGGCAGAGTCGTTCGAGGGTCGTATGCGAGAGTGGCTGCTGAGTGTGGAAGCGTTTCCCGGCTAACTTTTTTGCAACAACGATGTCTTTTTTCTAGTGATACAATTCCTCTGTAAGGCATCTTCGTGGATGGTATGGATATTTTTAATACGAATATGGGTGCAATTCCTTTCCTGGATTCATTCATCAGAGGGTGGAGGTGTCTCTCATCTCATAGTCTTCAATGAAAGAAGTAAGACGGAAGGATTCTTTTGTTGCGGTCATAAGGCTTCGCTGCAGATCGTGTTCTGTTTTTTCGTCTTTCGGTTTGGAGAGGATGTAATGGGGGAAGGGCGTATTCCTTGAATGTTGTTGTAGACATCGGTTAAGTGGTCCGGGTGGAGGAAGGGCGTATACTAGATGGTGTTGGGGGAAGGGCGTATACTAGATCTGAGACATCCAACGTGTAAGATCTGAGAAAATCACGATCCCTCTTCGCCTTTTAGATGGTGTTGTAGACATCGTAGACATCGGTCCTTTGCGCACTAACGAAACGCAAAATTGTGGAGTGTCTTCTTCACACTGGTGTCAAGATCCATCTGTTACTATTTATTATAATACCGGATGCATCTTTCCACCATCCGTGCCACGATGCACTTGCCATTTCTCTCGCGCCGTGAGTAGTGTACCGAGCCCCATCGTCGTTTGGGAATCTTTATCAGTACGCTCTAAATTTGGAGGCCTGTCTTCCGTTACTACGTGGCGCTGGCGGAACTGAGTAAAGGAGAAATCTTGACTGACCGTCGCCTGAACACTGCTGTCTCTCGATTCTGCTGGATGGTCTTATTGGACGGAACGTCAGGATCAATTAATAGGAAGACGGTTCACATGCTTCCATACGTGTTGAGTGTGAGCGTGCTAAGAACGTCAGGATCAATGAATAAGAAAACGGTTCACACGCTTCCATACCTGTTGAGTGTGAGAGTGCGGATCATGTGAGCATGCAGCACACGAACAGCAAGGGCGACAGAATTAAAGTAGGGAGTGAAAACCTAATCTAATTACAAGTTGTGCTCCCCTGAAAAAACTCCGCAGAGTTTAAAGTTTCCGACTCTAATTATAGTTTTGTACGCTGTGACCGCGATAGTTTTTTTCCATGGACCACTCATGCCCAACGAATGAGTAAAATCTTCGACAGTCGCTTGGTTACATGAGCTATTGTGGAGTGCCGTGGCATTTCTACTAGTCCGTCCGTCCGTCCTACTTAGGGTGCGTTATTCCCCAGGAAAGCATCGGCTTCTATTTTTAGTTACCCGTAGCAACGGAAAACTAGGGCGCTGTTAGGGTTTGAGTTTGAAAATGCGCTTCAGTAGCGATTTCGCGGATGATGTGCGAAACCGAGGAAAATTTTGAATGCATACCTAACTCTATCCTCCGGGGTCCGGTGATGCAGTGGCAAACCGAGGAAAATCGTGAATGTATACGGCATAAGCTTCTTCTAGGGACGGGTGGGGATGTGTTGTATTCGAGGATGCCCAACTGGATTTTAAACTGAAATCGTGACTGCGCCCTACCTTCTGCCCCTGAGTACAACGTACAGTCATTACAGCTGTATTGAGGGTATCTTTCAGTCTAAATACGGCTATAACGACCGTATGTTGTATTTGGGGGAAGAAGGTAGTTACCTCTTGTAGGAACGGTTTGCTATTTCCAGCATCTGCGTGACGATACACTCGTCCTCTTTCTCGCTCCCTGAGTACTGTAGGGAGCGCCATCCTTCGGGAATCTTATCAGGATGCCCAAATTTAGAGGCCGGTCTTGTCAGTATGCCCAAATTTGGAGGCCGGGCTTCCGTTACCACGTGGCTCAGGTGATGGGTTCCCCTGAAACTGAGTAAAGGAGAAATCGTGACTGAACGTCGCCTGAACCCTGCTGTCTCTTGATTCTGTTGGATGATGGCGGACTGAATGTAAGGATGAATGGATAGCAAAGCGGGTCCGCATATTTCCATAGAGTGTGAGAGTGCTAATCATGTGAGCATTCAGCACACGTCAAGCGAAGGCGACAGAATCATGTGTTTAGGGAATGCGCAAAGTTGCGAAGGCCTAATCTAATGATGAGTTGTGCTCCACCGAAAGACTCTTCGGAGAAGTTTCCTGATCTAATTATAGTTTTGTACGCAGTGTGACCGCGAGAGTTTTCTCACAGCGACTGGGTAACCTTCTCCGCTTCCGTCTGAACTGGTTATTAGAGCTCTACTGTCGAGTGCGAGAGTGCTACCGCCTTCCCCCAAACATAACGCACCCTAAAAATGAATGTATACAAGCCATCTTTTCGGCCAGATACAGCCAAAATGAGGGTGCGTTGTGTTCGGGGGAAGACGGTAGTCATTCAGCACACTAGTAATGGCGAGAGAATGAAAGTGGTCCGGGAATGCGCGTACGTTATCCAAGTATGGCTTTATACGCACTGTGACTGCTAGAGTTTCTTCCACGGAGGACTCCTGCACTGCGACTGGGTAACCTTCTCGAGGCTCGTGGTTACTTGAGCTCTACTTGATGACAAGGCATTGCTCTACTCATCGGCGACCGTCTGAATTAGGGTTAACGTTGTCTTGTCCCCGGAGAGCAATTCGTTATGACCTCTATTCCTCTCTATCCTTTTTTATCGCTTCCATTGCCTGGGATAAGCAACTGGCCTGGGATAAGCAACTCCCCGGAGAGCAATTCGTTATGACCTCTATTCCTCTCTACCAAAGATTTGCACCTGCATTTAAACCAGGGCTTTGATTAGAGGACAGTAAAACATCAAATCCATGAGTGTTTTTCATGTGTAGCTTGTATCCATTGTGCAAAGACGGGTTTAATCGAAATTTGTTTTTCTGGAGTACCAAAAGCTTGCATTACATCATATGGCTCGTTGTTTTTAGGCAATTTTTCAGTAAATTCATTTTGCTAGGAATGAATGATAAATATTCTCTTGATACTATAAATAGACGCACTTGAATGAAACTACGGTGTGCGGGTGCGTCGTAACCTCTATTCCTCCCGTCCAGTCTTCTTCGCTTGTATATGCATGCTCGTTCGCGATAAGCAAGGGGAGGGACGACTCCGGAGTGCAAAATCGGACTCTCTCTGTGTCGTTGCGTCATGACGTGTTGCGTTAGGTCTTTCGGGACCCTCGTCGGTCGTATACACGGAGGCACAACGGAAGGAGGCCGCACTTCCGTTGTGCCCGGGCTGCCTGCGGACGGTCAGGCGGGGGGAAGGTCACACTTGCATGGATTAAGAGATTGTGGCCATTGATCTTTGCTATCTAGGGTCAATATTGCTTTATTCGTGTAAGTGGGACCTAGCCCCGGTAGGATACGGACTCGAAAGGGAAAGTTTACTTCAGGAGAAAATCGTCCGCCCGGTACTGATAAAACCCTGCAATTGAGTCGTTCCGGGTTGTTTGTGAGGATTACCAGCCTCAATTGGAATTTTCGTTTTTCCCAAAAAAAAACAAAAACAAAAACCATGCGAGGATCCGGAAGAAAAACGAACACTGCAAAGATAGGGCCTCGCCACACCACTCTCGAGACGTCCAGTCCCGATTCGACAGGTATTTCGTCTTTTTTTTTTTTTTTTTTTTATAAATATTCGACAGGTATTTAACTTGGTTGGGCTTTAAAAAAAAAAAAAAAAAAGACTGCATATTCCTGCAGAGGAGGGCAGGACACAGCCGTTGCTATAAATAGTAACGAATGCATCTAACCACTTCCGGCCGAAAGATGCATTCCTTCGCTTTTCGTTTGGGAAAGATGCATTCGCTCTCCTTTCGTTTCGGGAAAGGATGCATTCGTTCTCTTTTCGAATCGGGAAAGGATGCATTCGTTCTCTTTTCGAATCGGGAAAGGATGCATTCGTTCTCTTTTCGTTTCGACAGTAGAGTGGAGAGGCCCATTGACAGCGGTGGCATGGCGCCTGCGCAAGGATGACGTGCTCAGAGAAACAAAACAAGAAAATAAGAAAATAAGAAACAGGCGTCGCACTCTCGCACAGTGGAGATTGGAAGGCTGTGAATGAACACGAAGAGGCTCGCCACACAGGCTGTCCAAGACCCGGTTTTCGACAATTTTGCATCGCCATCGCCACACGGCCTTTCGAAGAATTGCGGCTCAAAAGCATTTCAACAGGTGTCAGAATGATACGCTCGGCAGCCACCCTCCCCCATTCGTTTCCTCCAGCCTGCAGGAGACGGAAATTCGATCGTGCCCCATTTGCATTGCCAGGGAATTTTTTTTTTTTTTTTGTGTCATGAACCTAGGCCGGTGACCTTACATTTCTACTGGGATTGCTGGAAAACAGGTCCAGCGTCCTATCTTGGGTAACAGACTGGAAACCTCCAGCCTGCAGGAGAGAGAAATTCGATAGTGCCCCATTTGCATTGCCAGGGAATTTTTTTTTTTTTTTTTTTTTTCCCTGTGTCATGAACCTAGGCCGGTGACCTTACATTCTACTGGGATTGCTGGAAAACAGGTCCAGCGTCCTATCTTGGGTAACAGACTGGAATACAGGTCCAGTGTCCTTAGGAGAGAGAAGGTAGAAAACCAGCTGGAAACCAGGTCCAGCGTCCTTTCCAGAAAAGCAGATCTAGCTGGCTATCATCATTATCAGTTGCTTCTTAGGGCATCGGTAGACACTATGAGTTCCTTGAGCCACAAGGAAATTTCCTTGTGGCTCTTAAGGGATATTTGCGGCGTTGTTTCACTCATCCTTGGGGACCTCCCCCGAGGATGTTTCCTTGTGGCGTGCCCGTGGCCGTTTTCTTATGGAAATTAGTGGCCGTGGGGTCGGTCGTCTTTGGTCCACTGTCTTTTGTCCGTGTGGAGGCAGCGTGGCGGGAAACGACATGAGGCGGGCGACGGGAAAAAGCTTTAACCCGGGGGGCGCCGACGGTTGAAATTCGAATTTCGAATGACGGCTCTGATGATGACCGCGGCGTGCGGCTCGCGGCGCGAAGACGGCGTACTGCTGAAACGGGCTCAGCGGCGGCGTCAGTTCCGTCCCCTGGTCGTTGCGAGTGCGCAGGCATCGTCGGGTGCATCCGTCGCCGTCGACCTTCGTACATGTAGGCCGCGCCTTGAAACTCATTTCCGTCTGCAGGACTGCATCCAAAAGGGGCCAGCTTTCGACGGACGACACACACAGAGCGACGGGTCCGTGTCCAGGTCGTGGCCCTTCCTGAGGTGTGTCCGAAAGGTCGTGTCCAGGTCCGTGTCCAGAAAACGATGGGGGTATTTTCATCCTGCGTCTGGCCCTTCCTGAGGCGGGTTTCCTGGGGCTCTACCAGCATACCGGCCTGACATGGGATGAAAAACCTCCGAATCCTTTTATATGCTATATTCTTCTCTCAATCTTTCATCATCTTTCAAATTCTCTCAATTCAGTGACACCTTCACTACCTTCCTACCACCACTCCCAACTTCCTAAGGCTCCTTGGGCCCATAGTACTGCCCTGGGTTTTGTTGGGCACCCGAAACCGAAAAGATTTCCGCGGGCACTTTCGGCCAATTATCATGACGAATGTTTTGAAGTCTTCCTCCGGGGATAATCGGTGGAAAGCGCCCACGCCAAAACCATTTTGGTCTTGGGAGTCCAAAGTTGTCTTTTGATAGTCTGCACGCCCAAAGTTTTTTTTCACGTTTCGTATGCCCAAACTTTTCCACTGTGGGAAGATCTACCGGCCCATGCTTCACTCCAATGGGCCCTGCCGGATAATGAATCTCGCACATAGACAGCGGCAGCCAACGACCCCTACCGGATAACAGATCTGGCACATAGTCGCGCTCCAATGGGCCCTAATCTGGCACACAAACAGCAGCCGATTCATAGAGCGGCAGATTCATAGTGATGTGGAACAGGCCTAGGGCGGTGCATGTTGGCTCTTTCCACCAATTATCCCCTTCCTCGGGCCTCAGCAAATGAACGCACTGCTCGCTTCCACACAGCAATGGAGAGAATGAATCCAAACCCAACATCGTTCAGCCTGGAAGGACATCATCTCCTGACGGCTAGCAGGTATTTTTGCTAAAGCTGAGCTCTTTTCCACCAGGACTTTCGAGTGAGCTCTGGATGTGATTGCACTCAGATTCATAGAGGCCGTCTCTCCCACTTCGTGTGTGGGGGGTCTGTCGTACTGCCGTACTATACTGCAGAGGGTGCCTAATAATAAGCGAAAACAACAACAACAACAACAGGGTTGTAAAGTACAGAATGCTCGGCCACCCCATAATTTTATTATTTTTTGTTTGGTTTATTCGTAGATTAAACATTAAAAAACAAATGGAAAAAGAAACACAATCGAAAAAAGATTTGATTGATTGATTGGTTGATGCTTGATTGGTTGTTAATTGATTGATTGATTGATTGATTGATTGATTGAAAAAGAAAAAAAAAAATCCATGCACGCTCGCTCTCTGTTTGTCTTTCTCTCCGTGAGAGAGAGAGAGAGAGAGAGAGAGAGAGAGAGAGAGAGACGGTGGGTGTGTGTGCATGTGTTCTCGTGTGTGTGCGTCTTTTCGAGCGCGCGCGCGTGTGTGTGTGTGTGTGTGTGTGTGTAACACATTTTGTCAATATTGATTTTTTTTCCAAAAAGGGAACTATTTCAAATGTGAACTAATAGAGTGTATATGGACTGATAGTGCTTATTAAGCACTTTAAGTGAGGATAAACACTGTTTTTATGTCAAGCCGGTGGGCCAATAGTGCTTATGAAGCACTTTAAGTGAGGATCAACACAGTTTTTATGTCATGTCGGTAGGGTGAGTGGTGTGGTGGGGCATTGTATGGGCTGAAAGTGCATTATGTGATGATTACCCTGGATTCCAGGGGATTGACTGAGCAGGTCATTGAAAAAAGACTGGAAAAATAACTGGAAAACGCCTGCCCGCATTGACTGCTCTGGATTCCAAAGACTTAACTGAGCTTGTTGTGGAAGGCTCTCTGACTGTATCCACCAAAAACTGTGGACGCCATATGCAAGAGGATACCTAAGATACATAGGTGAGTAACAGGATGATGTGACTGGAAGGCGCCTGCCAGCATTGATTGCTCTGGAGTCCAGCTCGTCCTCCGTTAAAAAGATACACAGGCGGTAGCACGTATAGGCTTTCTCTGTCGGGTGCAAGTGACTGTACGCGTCCACCAGGGTCAAGGATTCACAGAGGTCTGTCAATATCCTTTCGTCCTCCTCTACATAGCTCGGGCAGGGGTCCCGTTGTCGACCGGATGAAGTGATCTGCCGGCCGGCGGAATCAACCCTATGTCTACCCCGTGTCTGTCACTCAC